AGGCTTCTTTCTATCAGGACAAACATAGGTTAACAAAACCACCCCTGATCCAATCACTATGGCCAGAAGAATGTCATGTTCTGGTTGGCTATCACCTGGATTACATGCCTATCCCCGAACCATCAATCAGAGAAAGAGGACAAGGAATGTGTCACTACTCAATAGGGACTTAGGGAAGGGATGCAGGAGAAACCACACACAATACAGCATTACTGTGACATTTCAGTACATCAAGCATGAGACACATCATAAAAATTAACAAGAAAAACAGGCCACCTAAAAAGGAATGAAAATCACACCAGTAGTAGCAAAAAAGATAGTGTGGCGATTCCTCAAGGACCTAGAAATAGAAATTACATTTGACCTGGCAATCCCATTACTGGGTATATATCCAAAGGATTATAAATCGTTCTATTATAAAGACACATGCACACATAGGTTCACTGCTGCACTGTTTACAATAGCAAAGACCTGGAACCAACCCAAATGCCCATGATAGACTGGACAAGGAAAATGTGGCACATATACGCCATGGAATACTATGCAGTCATAAAAAACGATGAGTTTGTGTCCTTTGTAGGGACATGGATGAATCTGGAAACCATCATTCTCAGCAAACTGACACAAGAACAGAAAATCAAACACCGCATGTTCTCACTCATAGGTGGGTGTTGAACAATGAGAACACATGGACACAGGGAGGGGAGCATCACACACTGGGGTCTGCTGGGAGGGACTGGGGAAGGGACAGCAGGGGGTAGGGAGGTTGGGGAAGGATAACATGGGGAGAAATGCCAGATATAGGTGACAGGGGGATGGAGGCAGCAAACCACCTTGCCATGTATGTACCTATGCAACAATCCTACATGATCTGCACATGTACACCAGAACCTAAAGTACAATAAAATACATATATATATATATATATATATAAATATATATATTTTTTTTTTAAAAAAGAACCATGGAGCAATGCTGTCAATGATTTCAGGAAAAATGGCTTTCAACTTAAAATCCTAAATTCAAAAATCTGGAGACAACAGATGCTAGAGAGGATGTGGAGAAACAGGAACACTTTTACACTGTTGGTGGAAGTGTAACTTAGTTCAACCATTGTGGAAGACAGTGTGGCAATTCCTCAGGGACATAGCAATAGAAATTCCATTTGACCCAGCAATCCCATTACTGGGTATATATCCAAAGGTTTATAAATCATTCTACTATAAGGACACATGCACATGAATGTTCACTGCAGCACTGTTTACAATAAATAGCTAAGACCTGGAACCCAAATAACCATCGATGATAGACTGGACAGGGAAAATATGGCATATATACACCATGGAATACTATGCAGCCATAAAAAACGATAAGTTTGTGTCCTATGTAGGGACATGGATGAATCTGGAAACCATCATTCTCAGCAAACTGACACAAGAACAGAAAATCAAACACCGCATGTTCTCACTCGTAGGTGGGTGTTGAACAATGAGAACACATGGACATAAGGAGGGAAGCATCACACACTGGGGTCTGTCGGGGGGAAAAAGGGGAGGGACAGGAGGGGATGGGGAGTTGGGGAGAGATAGCATGGGGGGAAATGCCCGATATAAGTGATGGGGAGGAAGGCAGCAAATCACACTGCCATATGTGTACCTATGCAACAATCTTGCATGTTCTTCACATGTACCCCAAAACCTAAAATGCAATAAAAAATAAAATAAAGCATAGCCTGCATATTAGAAATTTAATAGATAATGCAGTTTTGTCTCAAAAAAAATCCTAAATTCAACCAAATCAATAAAATATGAGGGCAGAATAGGAACATTTTCAAAATGTAAAGATTTCAAAGTACCCTCTCTAAGATAATTTCTTTTTTTTTTTTTTTGAGATGGAGTTTCACTCATGTTACCCAGGCTGGAGTGCAATGGCGTGATCTCGGCTCACCACAACCTCCGCCTCCTGGGTTCAGGCAATTCTCCTGCCTCAGCCTCCTGAGTAGCTGGGATTACAGGCACGCACCACCATGCCCAGCTAATTTTTTGTATTTTTAGTAGAGACGGGGTTTCACCATGTTGACCAGGATGGTGTCGATCTCTTGACCTCGTGATCCACCCGCCTCGGCCTCCCAAAGTGCTGGGATTACAGGCTTGAGCCACCGCGCCCGGCCCGGCAATTTCTTAAATATGGATTATATTGAAACTAAGGAATGAACCAAGAAAACGGAAGACATCACTCCAGAAAGTAGCTCCAACCCAGCAGACAGAAAGAATACCTAGATATATTTCCTATAGAGATACAGCACTTATATGTATCTTTCTGTAACTATTACACTGTTCACATGACTTAAATAGAAAACAAACAGAATTGGAAATAATGATATTTTCAGGACATAATACAATTATCTACTAAGCTAATTAAACTAGATAAGAACTGAAGTTATATTTCAATAGTAAAGAAATTCTAAAGAAACGATTAGCAACATGAAAAATATTTTGCAAACAGCTTGAGACACATACCTCTAGCTGTCACAGTCACCTGCTAATTTATTAGACAAAGGCTTATTACATTTCTACAAAATAGTTAAGAAACCTGTAACTCTACAAGTTCTTCCAAGTCCTTCCTACTTTTTTTTAGCAATTAGTAAATTAAACTCTTTGCAAAAAGGAACATCTATTCAAAAATCAGTCTTCATATTTGTGGGGAAAAATGTTACAAAAACAAGACTTATATGTCCAAGTTGCAAAGCTGCAACCTGTTATAAATAAATGTTTAAAATAAAAATAAATCTAAATGCTTTCAATATTCCATTAATATTCAAAGAATTTAAAAATGCAGTTCTTTTTCTTAGAACAAGACTAGCTTGAAAAATTATAGCTTTTCTAGATTCATTTTTTTCATAATTACTCAGTTATTCATTAGAATATGTAAGACCTCTATTGTAATCTTTGCACCAGTGTTTCATAAATGAATTTAACTATAAAAACCTAGTTATACAATCTGTTCCATAAAAGCAACATATTTCTGATATTTATGTCCTTAAAATATCTTATAGTAAAATTAATATTTCTACACAGGAAAAGATGGAACTATTTAGTCCCAGACAACTTGATAACATATCTTTCAACTATAATTATCATGTACAAACTTCCAAAGCAGAAGTTGTCAAGAATTTAACATTAGCATTAATTTATGTCATAACTGATGGTTACCATAAAGATAATAATGGTAAAGCATCCATTTCTCCAAAGACAGCATGGATGGAAAGGAAAATTTCTTCTTAATTATTGCTAATCTTCCCATTTTTAATTAGATTTTTTATTAATAGTAATTTATTCTCTCTCCCTTTCTTGGAGAACTGTTATCAGGGAGCTTCTCCAAAGTGATCAAGTTTGTGATTTTTAAGAAACCCAATTACTTTATTGTGAGTCTCATCATTTTATAATATTGTTTTATATTAAAAACTTAATGTCCAAATTCTTTGTATCTTGAAAAAGAAATTTTGAAAATGCAGGATTTGCACTCAGTATTTAACACTTCAAAGTGAATACTGTCAAGATCATAATTGCACCCTTATGAAGACATGACCACTAAAAGTGGAAATCTTTTAACCCTTCTACCTTGTTTGACAATCAAAATGTTTACAACATGTATCTTCCCAGAGGAAAGAAAGCAGATCCTTGTGATTTCCTTTCAAAAGTATCTACTTCTTTTGCTATCCATAACTAAGTAGGAAAATTTTGGAACTACTCTAAGGGTTTTTCCTATTAGTTTCTCTTTAAAATAAAAATAAAAATGTTCTAACATACAAAATAACTATTTTAGTCAAACAAATTTTAAAAGAATTTCAGTGCTTATATTTTTCATATAAAAATCCTTAATTAACTTTTGATTTGTATGAAACTCAAGTATGTCATTTAAGTAGCTACTTGAGACTAGAAAATTTTCATGACACAGGTTCATGAGGTAACTTCTGAAAAAAACTGAACTTCTCTGAAGAGTGAACAAGTGAAATGCAATGTCCCTTTGTAGAAGAGGGGACAGAAATCTTCTTTCCTTTCCCTGGTGAAAAATTGTAAGACATCCAAGAAATACTTCCATGAATTCCCTATTTCATCAAACATGCCTTATATGAATCAACGGTAGCTGACTGAGTAAAAATTCATACTTAGAAGAATACTGAACTGTATTCAAATAGTTGCTATCAATAAGAATGAAAAGATAATTGCATAACATAAAGTCATCCTTATTAATTACCATTTACAGAGTATAGTAACTATTAGATATGTGAGCCCCACACATTCCCTCCTAGAAATTATTGAGTGCAAAATGGCTACCAAACTCTTATATAATGTGACTTATGCATTAAATTCATACCTCTTCCAGATTTACGCAAGGTTCAGTCTCTCATTTTCTCTACATCTACTTGTTACCTTATCAGAAATGTCTTGCTTGACCACCATATGTAGCACTACCTCCATGGCTACACCCTGCCATCATGTGCTATCTGATTCTGCTTCATTTTTCCTCATAGTACTCTTCACTATCGAGCATTTTATTTATTTGTTTTTTGTCTATCCTCTTCCACTACAAAGTCAGCTCCATTAGAACAGGCCTTTAACTTATGTGTCCACTGCTCTATCCCCAGTGTCTAGCACAATATGCCAGGCATATAGTAGGCATTCAAAAAATATTTGTCAATAAAGTGATTAAATGGCCATAAGTGCTAGTCTTTTTTTCCTTAAGAATAGAAAACTTAATTTAATATCATTTGATAATCCTGTATGTCAAACTATACCAAGTCTTATTTCTAAATATCATTTAATATAAAAGCACACTATGATTTAGAGTTTTTTTCTAACCAAAAAGGACAAAATATCCTTTTAAAAAATAGTTTGGCTACTAACAATCGTAAATTATTTATTACTAAGTAATTCGGCAAATGTAATTTGCTAAAGTATACACTAAATTCAATACATTTAATTGTTTACTCTGCATACCTTAACAAGTTTCAAAAGCTCATAGAGATCTTCAACCTCATCACCTTCACATTTGGTGTACACTTGTCTTGTATCCAGGCTCCTTCCTCTTATGGTTCGGCGATAGAGGGGAAGAGCCATTGCTTCTGCATACAAGTCAATGGCATGGTGACCCACTGTTTGATACATGTAGCTATCCAGTTCATCAGACCCCACTGCAACAATTAAAATGGAAATAGTTAGCAAACGAGACTGAAAAATAAAGTGGATTTCAAAGCCCACTCAAGTTTTACTGTTTGAAGAGTAGTCAACACAGAACTTAAAAGCTTACTATACTATATTTCTCTGCATTTATGTAGTGAAATAAAAACATAAGAATTGCACATTTGTCTGTAGTTGAATCTAGTTCATATCAGTCCTAATCATCTCTACCACTAACTATAAATACAAATATACTCATACATAAATTTGTTATACCATATACGGGTAAACATTTAAAGAGAAATGTATCCAATAAATTTTGATTAATTTATTCAGTTAAAGATTTTTATTACATACATGTGTTTACAAATCATTCAAGATTATTCATGAGGTCATCTAGACTTGTAGAAAACCCTTTCTTAATTAAATATCTACTTAGTTAATAAGTAATAAATATTGGTAAGAAAAAATTCAGATATATTTTATATTCAGATATTCAGTACCTTATAATAAAACATATTATATAAATTCAATATTGTTAGAGCATTAGAGCAGTTACAAATGTGCATAGAAACATGATATCTTAAGCTAATCAACAATAGACTCAGTTGTTGTCACAAGATTCACAAATATCAATATGGATAAAATATTCAAAACAGATGAGTCACATCAGACCTTTTGGTGATATAAATGAACTTAGAAATATACTGGAATAGACCTTTTAATCTCATAACTTTACTTTCTAGAAAAGGAAACATAAATAAATACAAAGATTATTTGCAAAGATATTTATCACATTTAAAATAGACTACACATTATAGCATATTCATATAATAAAGTACTATGCACCCATTAACATAATGTTGAAAAACATTTTCTAAAGTATGTTCTGTGGAATATAAGTCCTCTAAGATATTAATAGGTATGGGATGATAAAATGATTTAAGATCAAACAAGTTTATAAAACATGGAGATAAAAAGTGTTAAAAGGATGCCTGTGGCATAATTCTTCCTAGGCTAACTAATACTCATTCAGGTACTCCAACAAGAGCAGAGAATATGAACCAGCTCTCAAATGTATCTATCCACAGAACACTCACATTTAATGAGGGTATTTGTGTTCTAAAGACATATGAGAAATTTTATTGTAGAATAATATTTAATGATATAGAAAGTGTTCACGAAATACTATTAAGTAAAAAGAAAAAAAAAGAAAAGTTACAAAGTAATTATTTTGACATATACCTATATGTGTTTGTATGAATATAACCCAAACAGGTTCATGCTTTCCATTAAATGTGAAAATATCCTATCAAAATGAATGAAAAATGATAGTATAAGTGCTCCTTCAACAATCAAAATCATCAAAATGTGCTACCCCATTTTGGCTCACAGGTTTCTGAACTCACACATTAGACTGGCTTCCTTCAGAATATTACTCACATTGTTATTATAAATGTGTCTACTCCTGATCCCAGTAGGAGGTAGAGAACATAGCCAAAGTTACCTAAAAACCTTTCAGCCCTCTCTCATCTCAAAGTAGATTAGATCTTTAAATATATTCATTTTAAAGGATATTGTTACAATCAAATCAATTTATTCAAAGAAATGTGGGCTTCTTGGCAAGAAACATTCTGATGTTAGTATAGTAAGTAAAACATTTCACAGGCTTCAAAAACCTAGAAGATAATTTTCCTTAAGGCTCCATTTACTCCTAACCACACTGTAACTTTGATTAATGGAAGCTACATAGCAACAATAGTGTGAGATCAAATAAAACCAAAAGGCTCCCCTGTTGCCTGAAGCAACTCAATTAACATGCCACAAAAGTTCCTACTACAAATAGAAAGAGATGGTTTTGTGAATTTTATGACAAGCTCACATTATCCCCACTGATGGGAATAAATTCCTTTTCGGACTACCCATTGAAAACCCATAACTTTCCTGGACACTGGAGTCATCTCTACAAGTCACTCTTCACTAAGGTTCCATTTACAACACTCTTAAGGGGAAAAGAAGTCATTCAGTGAATTGTTCAATAATCCCCAACTTCCTGCTGATTTTCATCAAGATTAGCTAAACCATCTCCATCTACCAACTCACAGCCATGTTTTCTTTTACAATTACTATTGTTTCAACTACCTTTTTCCAGGCTTTTTACTTCAGAATATTCTAATTCCATTTACTACTAAATTTTTTCCCACTAACAATATTCTAAACAAATGTCTCTATTCTACTGAGAGGTATAATTTAAAGATAAACTTTGTCATTTTACCATCCTGCTGGTGAACCATGAATACAAGAAAGATTATATACTAATGGTTCTGTACAAAGTAAGTAAAATAATTTATGTGAAAGCTGAAGATAGAAACTCCAGCAATGGAAATTATAATATAGCATGTATGTATTATATACTATATATAAATATCTGCTTTTTAACTTCACAAGACAGCTTAAAAGTCCCATTTGCCTCCCTGGTCACAAGGGGTAAGAAAGCTTCTTTCCTTTGGTAAACCTAAAAGGAGATTCTGCCTCTTCTATTATAATACAGAAATTGGAGTGCAGCTCCTACTCATCCTCAAAGAATTTTCTCTTTCTTAAAGTTGGAACTTTTTCAAAAATCTTCACTTCTAAAAAAAACATCTGTTACTTATCAATTGCAACACAAAATCCAAGCATGTGCATTTACCTCTGACTCTCTGTGGGACATTTCCATTTCTTCCTATAAAATACTCCTAATCTCTATCTTTCTATATGATTTCCAGCATTAATTAGGTCTTAATCACAGAAGAAAAGAAAATTCAAATATCTGACTGAAATAACTGCTCATGATTCCAGGGTTAATTCACATTAGTTCATTATAGAGCTGTCCACCAATCAACTTTCCATGAACTCCTACCAGAGGCACAGCGCTGTCCCAAATGAGGAGGAGCAATAACAGGAAGATAGAAGATATGACTCTCCTCTCAAGAACCTTATAATCAATCTATTTAGAGATATAAAACAAGTATTTAGTGCTAGATTCCAATTCAGCTAAATTTACAGAATGCCTACTTCATGACAGGAACTACGACTGATGTTGTCACATATACTACTCATTTAATTAATCTTAAAATAACAGCAGTGCAAAACCATGGAGCCTGGAAAGAAAAGGAGATAAAAAGATTTTACTAAAAGAGTCCTGCGAGAAGCAGTAATACAAAAGTCACACGAGTGCTAACTTTTTCTCCCTTACATTTTAGCAGTTAATATCTGTAGTTTCATAGGTATAACACAAGAGCATCAAAAGGCAAATTAGTGAATATATTTCTTTTTCTCAAAAGTTATAATTGGAAATTTTTCAATTGGGGAAAAAAATGAAAAAAGTAGCCAATATGAGCTCTGTGAATTATGTGTGGATGCCGTTGTTACCACAGACAAATGAAAAGTGGAAATGTATTGCTTTACGCTTCTCTCAAGTCTCACATTTCTGGCTTACATCTAAATAGGTAAACTGTATCGTTTTAATAATAAAATTTATGTATCATTTATCAATATGTGCCTTACTTCTCAAGCCCCTTGAGGCATGAAACTATACCTTATCTACCTCTATACTGCCTACAGCACTTGGAAATGTGGTGGGGTAAAATGGCAATGTACTTTGAAGTGAGAAAGTTTAAGTCTTAGCTCTACAAGTTTGTGCTAGTTTACCTCAGACAGACTCTAAGCTTCAGGATCCCTATCTATTAAGATTCGTAATGCATCTCTACAGAAGTTGGTTATGAGAATTAAAAAAGAAGTAAGTCCAAAACCTAAAATGCAATAAAATAAATAAATGGGG